TATAATAAATTAATTTATCAATTATTGTATTCTTTTGTCTGTTCTTTATCTTGTTTTTCTATTTATATTTCTATTTGTAATCATTTTCAAACTGTGGAGAAGACTTTGTTCAAAATTTATTAATTTGGGAAAATTAAAAAAAAGAAAACAAACAACGAACATTAAGAAAAATAATTTTCGAAAATTTTTATGAAATTTCTTCTACAAATAAAAACTTTTAATTATTGTAAATATTAATCATAAAGTTAGCTTAACAGTGGAGATGAAAAAAAAAATTAAAAAATACTAATCTTAATTACTTTGTTTTTACTTTCTAATTAGTTATACATAGATAAGGTTTATGCATTTTTTCTATTTTGAATTTGATGTTAATTCATAATTATTCGTATAGTTTTTAGATCTATTGGTTACTAATTATATTTTAAATTACTTTTTTAGTCTAATTTGTGAACATTAATATACGATATTGTACAAATTATAAAAATATTCATTGAAAATTTTTTTGTACATATTTGACATTAAAAATTTAATTCCAATCAAAGATGTAATTTTAAATATACATATAACTATATATATATATATATATATATATATATATATATATATATATATAATACAAATATATAGTTATATTTTTTACCAACTTTTAAAAAGCTTAAAATTATTAAAAAATTTCTGTTTTATTTAATTGAGATGTAGAGGAAACATGATACTAATTTTTATGGTAATTTAATTCACATAGTAACATATAAAAGGATTCACACATATATGACAATACAATAAGAGAAGAGAGTATGCAAGTACTATCTAATATGCTTCGAATATAATCATAGAATATTTCAACGTTTTAAGTTTTACATATAAAAAATACACTTATCGAATACGGCTTTTAAGCATTAATTAGAATCTTTATGATATTATTGAAATAAATCTAAAAAAATTTTACTATACAAACGATTTGAGTTTTAGCTTAATATTAGTATTTCTAATATTTGTAGTTTGCTTAAATTTAATCGTAATTGTAAAGTTGACGTTAAATGAATAATAGTGTATAAATCATAATGATGGGCCTTATTAATTAATTTACAGTTTTAATTTTATTCTAATTCATGAGCTTTTATTTTATGAAAAGTTTTATTTTAAAGTATTATTAATTATATCTAATAATATATAATCTTGATAATGGCAAATTAATTCTTTATTTAATAATTAAATTTTTAATATAATGTATGCCCTTAATAGAGAATTTAGATATTTTTTAGTCGTATTATTAAACATTACGTATATATTTCCGTAAAATTAATTTTTTTGTCCTTGTCTTTGAGTACTGTGAATTTCTATACGGAGTATTTATCATTCCACCGATGAAATCGTAATTATTATATAATAAATTATACATTTAATATATTATTAATTATCATCGGCCTTTGGCTAAAGCACCTTTTTCAACTCTAGTTCTTCATTTTTTTATATATTTTTAATATTTTATTTTCTAATAAATAAATATTCGGCTATTTTTATTTATAAAATTCTTACTTCATTTCTTCACAGCGAAGATTAATTTACAAAAGCATATTATCAGTTGCTTATAAATTACATAACATTATTTATTTTATGTATTTATTAAATTTTCTGTAAGATTATATGGCGAAATTGTAATTCACAACTTCTTCAATTAAAACATTAATTTTAATTTACTTATAAACAAGATTCTATCAAATCATATATAGACATCACTGTACTTTAACCAGTTAGCACAATACTACTAATATCATTGTAATATATGTAAATTAGAGAATTTCTATCCACAGTTGTTACTATTTATAGTACAATACATATTAAGTTGAATATAATTTTGATTTTTTGCACCTTCTTATAAATAATTATATTCAATGTTAAATTTTACGTTAGGTTACTCAAAAATATATATGGAAATGATTATAATATTTGGTCAAAAATATATTTTTATTTTAAAAATGTCTTGTGCTTTTTATTTTATTACATTTTTCAATTTAACAAAGCTTTTAACTAAAGTTGGGTAATGCCAAGTATGCTAAAAATATAAAAGAAATAAATTTTTATTATATTTAATCTAGTAAATAATGAAACTTTTAATAATTTAAAAAAAATCTACAATAAAATGACCTTGTAAAGATTTATTTAGACTTCAAGTGGATAATCAAAGTCATTTTGTCATTTAAATTTATTTTCTAAAATAGAACTTAATCACATATTTTTTATATTAATTTAATTGAATCACCATTTTATATGGGAAATATTCTATGTATCTATAACTTTAATTTCCATATTAACAGCTGAATTATTTAAATAATTCATTCGATTTAAAATTCTTAATGTAATAAAAATTATATTTAATAAGATACTCAATTTTATGTGTAAATGTATGTCTTATTAAATTTTTTTTGCATATTTTATCATTTCATTCATCACTTTAAAAATATTCTACCAGTTATTTTTCGTTGGACTCGATGTCTCATCGTAATTTATATACCAATATTAAGTAGTTATTAAAAATCATATTAATTTCATTATTAAATTCCTAAGTTTCTTAATAAAAATTATTTGATAAAGGGACCTTTCGATAAGGGTCTTAGGAGTGCTGTTAAAATTGATTTTATCCAAACTCTGTAACAGTTAAATTTCATGCAAACATTGAAATATGATGCAACTTCGCTCGCATAATCTAAAGTTGTATGTGCTTAATAATAGGAGCTTCGGCATAATCCTTGTAACTGTATTCTATGTCTATCAAATTTCATGAACTTCATGAATCGCTTATGTGTGTTGGTAGTCAACACACGAGCAGCATTGATTGTTTGTACACAATATAAATTGTTTTGCTGCTTGTAAACTAAATTTTTTACATATTATTTTCACAACTTAGTGCAAGTAAATCATTGCTCAACCAATTATACGTTGTTAATTAAATTAATTTTTTTAAAAATAAATGTTAGTGTTAGTACTCTACTAACAAGCAATTGGCTACAGTGCGATAATTATTCTCTCATTGGAGTTATTCTTCAATAAATCTTAAAATTAATTGACTAATCGCAAAAATTGATGGGACAACAAAATTAGCTGGGAAATTTAATCGATAACACTTTCTCATTATTTTGGCAAAAAATATGTTGTTTATGGTATTGTTTCGCGTCTCAAAGTGTCGGGGGCGTATTGAAATACTTTCAGTCTCCAGCAGGTCACTACTGTGTCACCTGTATCAATTAAAACTTATATACAATATGATAAGCAGTGTATCATGACGATGACATTCGGATCAGCAAATACTTTCTGTATTGACGACCGGTGAATGTCGATGTCAATTAATTATTTACTGTTTTATATAGTGTGAATTTTCTTGAATATTTATTTATAGACTTATTTATTTGCTTATAATGATTACATATAATATTTACAAAATTAGGTTTTCATTAAAATTTTCCAAGCTGCGAAATATCAAAACAAGCTGGTGGAATATCTTGCAAATTAATAGGTAACTATTTCACTAAAATAAATTCCTCGTTGCGATTCAACAAGTTGGATCTTTAGCTTTTACCGCTGTTGACGCAAAAGTTTCTAATTGCCAAATAAATTGGAGCAAATAGTTATAAAAAAATATTTAAATTTTGGGAAGTCGGCATGTACATACTAACATTATTGCAAAACTTACGCGCTTGTTTCCTTTTTTCCTTGCTTTCTCTCGCTTTAAACGTATAACACTTAATAAGTTTCAAATCCTTATGTACATCCAATAACTTTTCCTCTTTCACGCGATAAATATTTGGTTATCATATATCCAATCTGAAGTTTTATTTACACAACGACAAATGAGTTTCAATGCGACAAGAGAACATTTTTTCGCGACTCTCTCTCTCTCTCTCTCTCTCTCTCTCTCTCTCTCTCTCTCACTCGCACTCTCGCTCTCGCTCTTTTCACTTATAATTTCCCTTTCTTTCGCACTCTTCACTCTTTATTACTGCCTATCTATGTAAATAATCTAATCGCATCTTATTATATAACAATTAATGATCAGAACGGGCTCATGCGCTCGTTCAGGCACAGCCCGGTCATATTATATTTCTTCCTTGCGTCCAAACTCGGAGCCTCACGCATATGTACTTTTAACTATCCTGGCGAGGGACTATTACGAAGTTCTATATAATGTACTCATTGTGAATAGTAATTACATGTGTATATAAAACTGACATGTTATATTTACAGACGCTAATTACTTTTTCAGTTTCTAAATTCGTAAATGCTAATTGGTTGATTTAACTCAATTTAATGATTTTTCAAAATTCTTTATATTGGCTAAAGGTGTATAATGGAATAATATAATGGAATATCTTTATTAAAGAAAATATAATGAAAAATCTTTATTAAAGACTATGCCTTAGAACGATTTTATATAATGTAAACTATATAATACTTATACGATTTAAATATTATTCTTTGTTATCGAAATAAGGATATAATGCGATGCTTGAATATTTTTGGTTAGAAGGATATTTAAAATATTTTTGTAGTCGCATTTATTTTTTATAAGATTCAGAAACATTTTAAATTTCGCGAAATTTTCTTTTCTTTTAAAAAAAGAGCGAGTTTTTGTTATACACAATTTTCTATTCAACACAACGACACAACTGTTTTAACTTTCGAACTTTTCAATATTGTACCAATTATGTAGAAATTCAAAGACATCATTGCTATTCCGATATTTTGAAAAAGTAGTGGCACTATCAAAATCTTTTGTGACACAAACCTCATATACACATATTAAAGAAAGCTCAGACCCTTGTAATCTCGTTCGTTGAAATCTCAACAATTTTAGCCTCAATGTAGATTGAAAATTGAGAGTTATGATTTAATTTTTTTGATGGTTCAAAGCCGAGCAATGATTGTCTTTTTTTTTTTTTTTTTTTTTTTTTTTTTTTTTTTTACGAACACACCATCACATATCAGCTCTTAATTTTTGGTCTTACGTGGAAATCGGAACAATCCATCACTTCGAAAAAATTTAACATCGCTGTGATATTTTAATCCCTTTTCAACAGAAGATGTTGTAGTAAGTTGATCAGCAATAACGATAGCGATGCTGATAATAAATTCCCGTGACCTTGAACTGAAACACATAAGGATTTTAGAGTTAGTTTTTCAGTGTCAATAGATAATTTGTAAATAACTGATATTAAACATCATGTAAACATATTAAAATGAAATTTACATGGCCAATATTTCATTTGAAACTGGGACAATTATATAAGTAGACAAACAAAATAAATATATATGATATATACCATTAATATTATGAATATTAAGTATGTATAAAAAATATAAATTCAGATTCGATTTTATATATATTATGAATATATATTCATCAAAAGTACTATAATACGTGACTTGTTATGTAAAGTGAGAGAGTAAGATAATAAGTAGCTCGTAATATATATTAAAGAAATGGTTTTATTTTCTGTCATTAATAAAAAATTAACGTGAAAGCCTTCTATTTTACAATTCTGTTAATATAAGAATTATTTATCCTTTATATTATAATTCAAAATTAAAGAATTACACTTATTTCTAATTATTAACTCAAGACTCAAATGCTTTAAATACGCATACGAAGTGATTTATGAAATAACGATGGAGGCCTATCGTGATCAGACTCCTTTTCAATTTTACAATTGAGTGAGTCTAAGGCGTATTGACTTTAGCTTTTTAAAATAAGTTAAAATTCTAATCAATGTTTTTTCCGGCTTAATTATGATGTTATTATTCAACAATTAACAATTCTTATTCTGTGACCGAGCTGTTGTTATGCAAACCTGTAGATACGAATATGCAAAAAGTAAAATAAACTCATGCCTAGGTTGCAATTCCCGTAAATGTCAAATCCTCCCTGACTTATCCATACTATTTTACATGTGTCAAAACACGTTGCATCCTCAAACAATGTCTGCGCTTGATAATAGTTTGCTCCTGTAACTGTAGTTTTATTCTGCCTGGAAACCTACTTCTAACTTTGAATTAAGCGACGATGTAAGCATTTTCTCCGTCATTTCAAATACAAGCATTGAAGCTTTATATGTCGCAAGCTACAATTCCTGTTCAAAAGTGTGTCTACAATCAACTGACAGGTAACTCATGCGTTACCATTCTCTTTCGACTCGTCGTTGTGATATTCAATATTAAACCTACGATTGATTCTCCATCATTTTCGGTTCACCGAGGCGAACAAAAAAATCCAGAATTGACCCAAAGTCGTTGTCATCCTGAAAGGTGGTGCTTGCTAGTGATATCAACCATAATATTATTATTGATGAATGTTTGTTATAGTAATGTGTAAGAACAGGCCGAATTGATTCGTATTAGGATTTTGGTTGTTTAATAGATGTGCATGACAGTGGCATGGACAAAGACAAATTACATTATAAGTCACGGGTTTAAATGAGCGATATTGGCTGACAGACCGGAGAAATGCTATAGAAAGGAAAGGCACCGTCCGTGCAGCGGAATTGTTACGAGCGGCATAAACCACATTTGCTCGACTATCGTGTGTAGCGTTGGTTGAGGTGTGGCAAATAATGTCCATGGAAAGTCTAATAGAGGCTCTAATAGAAAATCTCTATGTGCAACCAAAGTAACGATCGCTGATCAAAATTTCATTGATTGGATCCATGATGGATGCTAGCCCGTGGAGCTGCCATTGAACGAGAATTTATTAATTTTTTCGTTATTCCTGAAAGTAGTCGATTGTTTACTACTATTACAACTTCAATCGCCATTGCTCACATTATTAATACCAACATTTTCAAGCCAATAAGGTTGTAAGTTTGCTTTTAGATTGCTTTGAATCTACTTTGTGTCTGTTAGAAATTTCTTAATGCAATGCTCTGAAAAGAAAGTCTTGATACTGTTATTTCAGGAATATAAGTGTATTCTTCCAAGTTAAATTAGATATATAATTTCGCATAGATTGAAATCTTACCAACTCTGCTAATAATGAGTTTGACATACCATATTTTTATCTTGTCGAAAAAAATCGGAAACCATCTTCTATTTCACTTTTTCTCCATACTCTTTATCACGTTCTTCTACTTTTTGCTTCATTATATACGTGTAAAAATTGACGGATGTTTATGTATATATTATTTGTGTATATGCGTGTCAAAGCCTGCAGCTGTATATATGTATAGGAGATAAAGCAAAAGTATATTTTTCTGTTGAATTGTGTGTACAGCTTGAAATTGTATGTCTCTGACGTGCATTGAAGCTAAATAAAGAGGTGTTATTATTGAACATTGAAATAAAATTTCAGATTTCACGAAGAAACAATTTAAGGACATTTTGCTAATGTTGTTGAAAATTTTAACTAATTCTATAAGGAATCGTGGTTATAATTATTACATTTAGTAGTATTTATTAATAGATTAATGTTTAAATTTTAGAATATTTAGAATTTAGATTTTCTTTATTTATCATAATATTTTCAATATTTCACGATATTTTTTATTTCAGGATTAATTATCATAATGAAATAAGTAAAAATAAGTTTTATTAAAATAATTTCAACCATTAAACAATATTCATTATACAAATGTTTGTGTAAAAGTTGAAGTATTTTTGCAAATCTAATAGATAATTGATATTTTATTAAATAACATTATTATTAAATAAATATTAATTACTTGAAAATTATTTTTATAAAGAAGAATGTTTTCTAGTAAACAAGGAGTAAGATAATTTTTACGAATAGGATATTGCAGTACTATAGAACAACTTCGTATATGTAGGAGTAAAACCATACGTTAGCGATCAGGTGATTCTCTCCTTTTTTAACGCGAGTTGTTAATTGTTAGATTGCTCGAATGTTTAATTTTTTTTTTAACTCAATTAAAACTGACGTATGATTAAATAAGTTAATAACTAAGAGAATTATTTATATTATTTATTAATGAAAAGAGTTTATTTACGTCAAGTACGAAAGATGAGTGGGCTTGATAATTGAACTACATTTTTTTTATTATGATCGCTTGATTAAATGTAAAATATATAAAATAATTGATTATTGATTAATTTTAATAAAAGAGCACAAAAGTCTTACATTGAATGGATATTTTAACGGATTTTTCTCAAACATTATGACATACATTTTACACTATAAGAAACTATAAAAAGTGCTTTTACTACTTACAGATAATAAGTTCTCTTTTCCTCTTCTTCTTCTTCTTCTTCTTATTATTATTATTATTATTATTATTAATAGTATTATTCTCAACACTATCATTATAATCATCCATTTTTATTGCTGCATTATTGAATTGAAAAAAAAATGTTAATTTTTCAGATAATTATAAGGTAGATTTATCAATTTATTAAAAAAAATTTCCTTATTCTTTATATTAGTAAATAAAGTGAAATCCAATTTTACATTATTAGTTTCTATATTTTTTAATTTCAGCTTAAAAGTACTTATTTATCTGAAAAAGTAAAAGAAAAAACATTCTCCATGGAAGTTATTAAAATTTTTTTATGAAAATTAAAGGGCTCCATATAATTAATTCGTCGAGTATTATTTTGAATAATATATTCCATTAAATTTGAAGCGCGGTAGTTGAAAATATTTTTCCTATAATCCGAGCTTACTGCACAATACCCCCGGACATTGTATATTTAAATGCATTTATATATCGTAGATTGCTTCGCTCAAAATCATCGATTTGTTCAACAGTAGGAAGCAGTTGCCGGTGAACTATTACTTTAAAATGGCACTAATAGTAAAAAATCTACTTACAAACGGATCAAATATGGCCTCAAAGTTTTTGTCGCGGCAATAGGTGGAGAGTTGGTCTCTCTTTTGCTCAGTTTTCCATGAATCGGTTAAAACCCCGTGATATTACACATAGAGGCGAGCTTGTTTAGCTAACCCGTTAAAGCAGTCTTTGCCGAGCTCTGGTCGTGCGCACGCAAAAGCCCCGAGGCATAAATTCTTAAACGTACTCACAAGGTAGGTAGGAGAGGAGTAGAGTAAACGTTTGAGTTTATGTACGCGTGCAGACAAGCAGCGACGAGGAACGGCGACGGTAAAATTTAAAGCCATGGCCACGTTGACCGGACACGATTATCTCGTAATTCACGTTGGACGGATGGTCTGGCTGGTTTAGTCAAGCCGAAGGCGAGTTTGCAAGAAAAAGAGAAAGAGACAGAGGGAAAGACATAGTGGGATGAAGGACGGGAAAAAGTTACGAGTTCAGGTTAGACGGTAAATGCAAGAGGCGTTTCGTGAACGATTTAGCTTAACGAGAAAATCGAAGGTCGTTAAGGGCAATTCCTTCGAGTCGCTCGGCGGCTTTTCCGGTTACCATTCTTCCTCTCACTTTTATCTTTCTTTCCTTCTCTCTTTTATTCCTCCCTTATTTTGACTTTCTCCTTACCTTTTGCTGCTCCCCTCTTTCGCTGCACGTTCATCACTGTCTTTCTCTTAGCTCTTCTCTTTTCCTTTCTCACTTACTCTGTCGCATGCTTCGTTTCGCTTACCGAAGTCTCCCTTCCATATTAGATACACTACCGTAGCTAACCACCCTCGAATTTACTCTATCTTCAGCGGTTTTTCATGTACCGTAACCCATTTCTTTACTGAATCTACTTTTTCGTTTTCCTTTTTCTTACCCCCCTCCCCTCTCTTCTTAATATCGTTATCGAAGATATTTCTGAGTATTTCAAAACTATTTTTCTGCTAACTGTAATGAGTCTCTCTATTTAGCAATCATATCTCTTCTTTTCAGTAAGCTTTCTCTCTCTCTCTCTCTCTCTCTCTCTCTCTCTCTCTCACATCTCTCCTTTTCAGTGTGCTCTCTCTCTCTCTCTCTCTCTCTCTCTCTCTCTCTCTCTCTCTCTCTCTCTCTCTTGTAGTTCATATAAGCCACAACGAATTATTGATAATTAGCGTTAATTAAATTTTAATTTATATTCAAAACACATTTATGATATTGAAACGTACATTAAATTTAACTAAACTTAATACATATTAAACTTTTAAGCTGCTGAATATAATATAACTAACTTATAATTATATATATATATATATATACACATGAGTTTAACTATATATATAGTTTCAAA